ACGCAGGTTTTGTTATCATTAAACAAACTTCGTCATCACTTATTGATCCTTTATCTTATTTTACCTCAACGATAGTAAGTATACTATTTATTTTATATAGTTATTACACATTAAATAAAAAAAAATTATGTTTAATTTAAATGACCTCAAGAGATTTTTCCGATAGAAATAAATAATAATAATGGTGGTGGTTATGATTATTTATTTAAAAAATTGTTTTTATGTACCATTTTACTAGTTATAATTCGCTCATCGAATATTATTAAACTTTGACCTCTTTTCCAAAAAAATAATAATAATACTTTGAGTAAACCATTCGTTTGACCTATCTCTTAATAATAATAAAATTTTCATAACAAGAAATCGAAACGAGTAATAAATGAAAAAATAACGAGTGGACAATAATAATAATTATTATTATTATAATGAAAAAACTTGAACGGAACTTCTTTTGACCTCACGTAAAAAAAAAAAAAATTCAATATTATCCTTGTTATTTAATTATTATTTGAACGTCGTCTGTATCAACGCGATACGTTTAAAATGATTTCAATTATTATATATATAAAAAAAATTAGTGTCCTTTTTTTTTTTAGAAAGGAAATTTTTTAATTAAATTTAATCAAAATCGTGTTAAAAAAAAAATAAAAATAAATAAATAAATAAAATTCCGTCCTCGAAGGGTATATTATTTCTTTTTCTTTATGCATACATATTTTTTTTTATTGTTACACTAAGTAAACAATAATTTTGCAAAATAAATTTATTATTATTATTATTTAAAAAATAACGTTTAACGAATGCGAAGACGGTTGTTGAACAATAAAATTTTTATTCAGAATAAATTTTTTCCTTTTTTTTTAAATTTTAATATTTAATATTTACGAGCCACCTATGTAAAATACATAAAAAAATTAAACGTCAACTAAATAAATTAATAGTTTATGTATTTTAAAATAAAAATACATTAAATAAACGTCCATATAATTTATTATGATAGTTTTATTATATGTATTAAATTAAAAAAAAAAAAAAAAAGATTGATATTGTTTTGAAAAAAATGAGATCATACGTGGGTGATAAAATAAAATAAAATAAAATATAACATTTTTATTTTTAAAATGTGGTTTGGGCGGTTTTTTCTAGTTTTTTCTTTTAATTTTAGTACCCGTAAGTTTAAATATAACATTCGTGAAAGTAAATTTTTTTTGTTTTTAGAAGGGAAGTTAAAATGGCACCACATATATATATATATATATATATATATACAATAATACAAATTAAAACAAAATGTTTCTTCTTAATAATTGTTTAAATATATATATATATATAATTGAATATTATTTATATTAATTACCTCAAATTAATTAATTAAATTTGTTTTTAAACAATCAAATTAATAATAAGTAATTTTCTAGAGTGTTTGCTTCTCCATATTGTCAATTAATTAATTAAATATTTTTTAATTATAATATGTATATTTTTAAATAAAACTAATTGTAAATAATATATATAATTATATATAATATATATATTTACATTTTAAAACATGAAAATATCAAGATGGCAGTTATTTCGTAAAATTTTTTTAAGTAAACATAAAAACGAATTCGTATCAAAAATTATTGCAGACTGTTTATTTTTATTTTTGAAATATCATAGAGTATTTAAATATTATCATAGATATCATAGGTTTAATCATTTTAATTAGCGTAAATTTAGGCAGTGATCAAAATGGCATCAGTAACAAAATTTTAAGTGTAATTTTTCAAAAACAAATACATATTATCAAAAAGATATTCTAGCAAAATGTCGGCAGCGGCAAGAATTGCTTTTGAAACTCAAACAGCCAGAGATTTTGTTTGGCCTTATGAAAAACCTTTGGCTGAAATGTAACTATTATTATTAATATTTATAATAATAATAATAATAATAATAATAATAATAATAATAATAATAATAATAATAAATTTTAGATGTTTACCGCATTCACATTTCACGCATTTATTTTATTAAATTAAATGTAATGAAATACATATTATTTTTTTTTAAATGTATCAATTATTTCGAATGGGGGGGGGGAAACAGGAGGACCATTTTTCGACAGTAAACAGGTCAAGGTCAAGGTCTTATTAATATTTTTAATAAAATAAAACCTCCCCGTCTTGTAACAATAATAATAATAATAATAAATAAATAAAAATTTTCAAAATGAGTGATTTTTAAAATTTAAATTCAATCATAATAATTATCATAATAATAATAATGATTTTTGATCGTTATTTTTAAAATTAGACAAATTCGAAAACAAAATTCAATAACAAATGTAAAAATGTAAATTAAATTTTGGCAATGTAAAAAACTTAATTATAAGGGGCTGAATTTATTCATAACAACACTACAATTAATTATATAAATAAATAATACGTATATAATAATATAAATATTAATCATTAAAAAATTACAATTCAATACGTTAATTAAACTTTTACTTTTGAATTTTTTTTTTTTTTTTTTTTGGATAATTTTATCTTATATTTTAAATTTTAAGTATAAAAGAAAATTAACCGAGTGGAAAATTTTTTTTTTGTATAATACCCGATTATTTGTTCAATAATAAATAGTTTTGTAAAATTACATTAACCAAAAAAAAATAAATAATGTGTAATTTTTTTTTTTTTTTTTTTTATATAAATAATTTACCATTATAAAAATTAATATAATTTTTCTGAGTAAAATTGTAAATATAATTTTCCGATTGTAATTTGTTGGAAAAAAAAAAAATTTTACTATTAAGGTCGAAGGCGAAGGAATATTCATAAATTTTCAATTTTATATGTTTATTAAACGCAATAATAATAATAATAATAGTTATGAAATTATTTGTTTGTAAAATAATTTATTTAATAATTGATTTGAAGGAATCCGATATTTTTTTAACCGTTACCGGACAATTCAGGTACGGATAATTATTTATATTGTTAACGATTAATAGTAACTGATGTTAATAATTAATAATAATTTAATAAACTTATTCATTACGTCACGATTGATTGAATGAATGTAATTTCTCACTTTTATTAGTACTTTATAGTTTTTAACGACTAAAACCATTATATGTAATACTTGTAAACATTGATAACGTGATTAATGATAATACTGTTTAAAATATTTATTTTTATAATGACCAACTAGCTACAGGACAAACATTCGAGCCCATATTAAAAGGGAATGGTTTGTCGACATGTTTTGTTTTATTTTTTACGAAATAAACGTAAGGGATTTTTAAAAAATCTTTTATCCCAAAAACTTTTTATTTAAAATTTTCATTACTACAATCTATTATCATTTTTTACTACATGACGATTATGGTCAGATCATCATTATTTACGTAAAAGAAGATCACGTCAAAACTTTTTTTTTCCATTAAAAATAAAATTAAATTTCTCGAAAATTTTATCCGAAGCGTCTAATAACTAAAACTAATTATAAAAGGGGTAGTGTGAGACCTTTTTTTTTTCAATATTATATTTATGGCAAACCCGTAATTTAATTGTAAATAAATGTTTTTTTCTTTTTTTTTTTTAAAAATAAATTGATTTTTTTTTTTTTTTTACCTTGTGAGATAAACAATGAAAGTCTTATAGAAAAAAAAAAAAATATTATTATATTTTTCGTAATATTTTCTCTTGACTAGTTATAATTATTTAAAAAAAAAAAAAAAATTAAGTTTTATAATTACAATAATTACATTATATATAGAAGAAAATTTAATTATCGCACACCATTTTCGCCATTTTGTAACTCCCATTTCCGGAGCTATAACGAATAAAACCTCTATCTTTTGCAATAATTTTTTTTTTTTTTTACGAAAATAAAAATGATAACTTTTACATCCTTTAATCATAACTTAATTCTTATAACTCATCGAGAAAAAATATACTAATAAAATCGTATATTTACAGACCTGAAGAACCACCAATAGAAACAAAAGATAAAAATTTTTTTTTGCCAAGAATACCTCCGGAAGATTGTGGTTGCTACTTTCATGCCTGCGAAGTTGGAAAATATGCAGAATTGGCAGAAAAAAGAGACTACATGGAAAGAACTATCGATCTTATAGAACAACAGGTTCAAAATTTATTTTATTTTATTTTTTCAATACAAAATTTACTACCTAACACAGAATTCTACAGTACAATAAAACATGCTAATATTTTTTTTTTTTTTTAAATTTTTAACATTCGCTCAAAAAATAAATATGGCAATCGGTTAAGATTTTTCAAAAATAATAATAAAAACTAAAATTTGTTAAATGTTTTTTTTTAATCGAATTATTTATTAAATTTCTATAGATGACAGCTATAACAAACGACATGCTGGATTCACCGTGTGGAGTTACCGATGAAGCAATGAAAACAATTTATGAAACGGATTTTTCTAGACGAGGTAATTAAATTATCATTTAATTCGAATGTGTGCAAGAGATTTTATTACTTTTAAATAAATTATTAATAAAAAATAAAGGAATTTTACATAATGGGTCAACCATTTTTTTTTTTTTTTAAACAAAATATTAGCAGGGTCAACAACTTCTTTGTAAAATGAAGCGGAAGATCTTGAAAAAAAAAAAAAAAAATCAATATCCAGTAGTGTTCATACACCTACTTATTTTTTATAGACATAAATTTATTTACGGGTATGATTCGGGTAAAAAAAAAAAAATCCCTTAAATTACTGATGAGTTCCGTGTTTATGTGGATTAACCTTATTGCTTTCTCTGACCATCGTCTACAAGGCTTAAATTTTGAAAATTTTATATGCAAGGTTAGGCAAATAAAAAAAATTTAATGTCCGATTTACTATTCAAATACCGTCAATTGCTTGTTAAATATAATTTTCAATTTCAATAACAAGCCACTCTTTCATATTTAAATCGTTTTCCCTTTTATTTGCATTTCGAATGGACATCAAAAGCACTTTAAAATTTTTTTTATTATTTTATAAACTGTCACAATATTTAATGATAATAACTTGTATTTTAAATTATTAAAAAAAATTTTTAAGAGTTAAATTAACTGAACATGATTACTAAATTCTTTTACTCCCTAATTTTTTTTTTTTTTCCGACGCGTTATTTACAGTAAATTTATTGGAAATTTTCCTTTTTTTTGGTGTCCACGAATCCTAAATTTTTAACTTACAATAAATTATCTGTTACATAACTATTTTTATTAATTACAGGATGGCCTTTTGCAACATATAGAAAACTAATAGCTGAAACAGATTGTCAATTATGTCCTCCACCTCAATATAAACAAGTACTGGGATTGAAAAACGGTTACAGAGATCCAACAAATTTCCGTTTGGTACCTCATGCCCTACCGGGTATCGATCCGGCAAAACCAATTACATTCAGTAAAAGTAATTGATATCAAATAATAATAATTAAATCAATCGCTCGTTTAAACCATTTTAAAAAAAAAATTTATTAATAAATAATTTAATTTTAGCACCAGAAAGTATTAATTACTATTGGAAAGTTTGGCCGACGCGTACAGAGTACGGGGATATGTATAGTAGACAAGGAAGAGCACTCACAATAGCCGCACAACAATTCTTAGAACCCTTGCCGAGTAGTCGTAGAAGACCGTAATTAAAATACAAAAATAGGTCTAGTAAACAAAAACTACAAATTGGCCGGAGGTTATTGTAAAAAAATTTTATTAAAAAAAATGTTTTAAAGTATCTCCACATGATTTTAAAATAAAGTTTCGAATATTTTTTTAAAAATTATTGTCAATCAATTTTGCAATCATTTATGACAGACAATATCTTATGGTTAAAAATTAAAAATAATAATAATAATAATAATAATAATAATAATAATAATAATAATAATAATAATAATAATAATAATAATAATCGAACCAAGAGGTCGTTAAATAAAAAATAAATTTCAATAGTAAGTAATTATTATTATTTTTTCCACCGATTCCTTTTGTATTGTGTTTTAAAAATAAATTATCAAAAAAAAAAATAAAATAATTGTTTTTTTTTCCCCCCCCCAAATAAAAACAAAAAATTTTTGCTCGAATAAACACAATGATAAATCTTTTTTTGTTTTTAAATTATTAAAGAAATAATATATTTAATTAAGATGATTAACACGAAACAATTTGATAACCTTTAAATTCCTTTAAAAAATTGTCAATTGACCATCACATATTCAAAGAACTCATCCAGAGGACAAAACTAATAATAATTCTTTTTGTGAATTATTTAAAAAACATTGACCTAGAACTCGGTATTAAAAAAAAAAAAAAAACGCTAAAATTTAAAATAGACAATTTCATGTGATGATGGAAAATGTTTTTTTTTTAAATTTTATGAAGAATTTGTTTCAATTTGATGATTTTTTTTGTTCTTATAATGCCCGAAATTAACTTTTTTTATAACTGATACCATTTGTATAAATTTAATAAATAAAAAGTTTATATATATAATTTTTTGTAACGAGAGTTAAATATTATTATTTACCTTATTCTTTTAAAATTCAGTTTCTCCTATCATCACCTTTCCATTATCACGAATTTGATCATCAGCCAAAAGATTTATGTTTGTAACCTTATAACAGAAAAAAAACAATAAAAGTATTAAACTAATGATGATAATTTGTTATTTAAAAATAAATAAATAAATAAATTTTGTTTAAACTATTATTTAAAACTAAATAAAATTTAATTATTTTTTAAATTTTCTACGAATTGAAATTTTTTTTATAATTTAATATAAATAATTTTACTTTTTTTTCTTATTATTATTATTGAATTTTATGATTAATATTTCAAGGTTTTTTTTTTTTTTACATAAATTTATATTATTATATTTTTTATACTTTAAATTTATTATTATTATGTGTTTTTTTATTATTGATTATTATTATTTTAAATTGTTTTGTAATTTTTTTTTTGTTTTGGGCTTTATAACTGGGTTTTTTTTTTATTAAAGTAAACATAAAATAATGTTATAAACAATAAAAATATATTGATGTGTATGTAATATAAACATAAAATAATATTGACATTTATCTTTATTAAAATTTAAAGTTTTTAATTTAATTTAAAACAAGAAAAAATTATCAGTTAAAATTTAATTATATTATCTCGTTATTATATTTAAACATACGTTATAATTAAATTTAATTTTAATAAGTTAAAAACTTTTAAATCAGGGTTTCCGTTGAGTTGTAGAAGATTAAAAAAAAATTAACAAAAGAAAAATATATATTCGATAAATTGATTTATTCAAAATAATGATATCGATCAATAGATTTTTTTTTTTTTTTTTTTAAATTTATAATGACTTATTAATTTGTAAAAATAAAATGACAGTTAAGTGGTTGTTTGTTACTTCTGCAAGGCAAGGTTAAAACAAAAATAACAACTACAGGTGAATGTTTAGTAAGAGCGATGAGGGCTTAATCATTATAATACGAATTTGACAAAATGATACCAAGAGATTTTAATGATTAAATAAAAAGTAAATATTAACAAGGCAAATGGAAAGGAAATAAAGTATAAATTTGAAACTGAGATAAAAAAAAATACGATATCCAGGGTCACCGAAAGCTTGGGAAGCTGTTAACATTACAATATTCTATAAAAATTTGTTGTGTTAGTTTTAATTTATAGTGTAATTGTAACTTTATTCAATATCTTATGACTTTTAAAATTAATTATAATCATTTTATTTTTCTGTAATAAAATAGTGTGATAACGACAAATAATAATTTCCAGTAAATATTATTTATTAACGATTGGGTTTTTTTTTTTTTTCAAATGAGATCGCCCTAAAAAAAATTATTGTTTACATACCAATTAAATTTTTATTAATAATTAATATTTAATATAACATATTTATTTCCATAATTAATTTGTTTTTTTTTTTTGTTTGTTTGTTAGCTTTATAAAAAATTAATTTTTTACGTTACGTATTATCTCTTATATTTTTTATGGAAAAATAATAAAAATTCTTAAGAAATCTCAACACACAACTAAAATATTTTAAAGGAAATCATGCATGACGACACAAATGTTTTGTAATTTATAAATTAAGTAGAAAATGCCAATGTCAAGATAAAGTAGGCGTTAACTAAATTAATGTAATTATAAATATTATTAAAAAAAAAAAATTAAATGGCATAATCGAATTTATGCTTAAAAAAAAAAAAATATTACACGCATTTTTTAGTATCTTTAAAAAAAAAAAAAAATTAATTTAATTTAATGTTTATCGAAAAACCAGTTTTGCTTTTTTTCGTAAATTGTAAACAATCGATTATTACGAAATAAAAATTTTGTCTCAAAAATTTAACATATATTCTATCAAAAAAAAAAAAATTTTGTAAATGTTTTATATCTGTGTATAATATATATATTCACAACTTTTTTTTTAAATCATTAAAGAAATAAATGATCTTCTAATTTGTATAAAAATAAAATAAAAAAGTATTATTATGTTTTTTAAAGTAATAAGTATAACATTTGTAAAAGTTGTACATAAAAAATTTATATAAATATATTTTAGACAAATAACTATTAAACAGTGTCCTTTTGGTAATAGCAAAACCTAACAGAGTATAACTTTTGTACTTGGTCTGTATTCTTCCTTCATTTTATTACATATGTAATTTCAATACAATTAAGCATCAATATACATATACTTTAAATATCTTGTTTCAACAAAAAGTAAACCATTCTTCTGATAGTTATTTAGAAATTGTTGATCAAAAATTATTATTTATTGATTTTGATATAATTCTTATAAGCAATTCAAACAATGTAAGTATAATCAGCACAAATAAAAATCTCAAATTCTTTCTTTCAACAGCATGATCTTGATAATTATTTTACATTTTAACAAAGTGTTACTGTAATTATTCATGTAAAGAATGTATTTTTTAAAAGAAAATTATTTTCTTAAAAATAATTTTGGTTAATATCTTTTTGGTAATTCATGGTAACACTTGAATTATGCATATAAATCCTACACATAATTTATAGTTATGAATAATGATTTCATTCTTACTTGTAAAAAGGCTGTAGTATGAAAAAAAATTATAATCCACTATCACTCACTAATAATTTCTTTCAAACACTTTAAAACACTTAAATTTACACTTTATTTAACTTTTTTTTATGGATTGCACAATTTTTAACTTCACTTCATTAAAATAAAAGGTATACGTTAAAAAAGGGAAATTTAAACACAAGGAAAATCGAAAGAAGAAGTTATAAATTTTGAAAAAAACGTTAAATTAGAATTAGATTTTAAAAAAAAGAACAAATTCAAGAGTTAAAATCAAAAGAAAAGTTTAATTAAATAGAAAAAAAAAGATTTTTTTACAAACACAAAAAAAATGGTGTACACGGTCGAAAATTTTTCGCGGTTGAATTTGTTTTATTGGCACCACTGTAAAAAACTTGGCGATTTTTTAGCAGTAGACGTTTGACATCACAAAAGTTGTTAAATTGTTATTACTTTTGTGTATTTTTTATTCTTACTTTGCTCTTTTTATAATTGTAATTTTTAAATTTGATTTTATTAATTTCAGCTGGTGGAACAATTTAGAAAATTTGAGAACTTTTTGTTTCTATTGGCTGTTTTTTAAAAGCCGTAATTTATTATTGTCTGGCATAAAAAATATATGTTATATTTTTCTTCAATGTTGAAATTTTTAAAAATCCTAGTATGACTGAAGTAGAAGAAGTGATCGTTAAAAAAAAAATCACTCCTTCATTAAGAGATCGTGTTTATTATGCTGCTAGAGATGGGATGGCTATAACTTTGTTTTCACTTTTGTATGAAAATAAGTCAGTAGCACAGGATTTGCTTGATGAAGTAAGTTGTACATTTTTCTTTTATAATATATGTTTTAGTATATATTCACATACTAAATTTTAAATTTTACTTTTACAGTAAATAAAATGTTTTTTATGAATAATGTTATGAAAGTCTAAAAGCTTTTGTAACTTTTTATCATATTTTTTAAAGAAAACTGATTTCTTAAATTTTAGCATTTCATTGATGACAACAATCAAAAATGTACACCTCTAATCATAGCTGCAAAAAACGGTCATGATAAAGTTGTAAAAACATTACTATCGAATTTTAATTTAAATGTAGAAAGAGAAGGCACTGTCAAATTTGATAAATTTGTAGTCGAAGGTGCGAGTGCACTTTGGGTTGCTGCAGGTGCTGGAAATTTAAATGTAGTTAAAGTACTAGTCAAACATGGAGCTAATGTAAATCATCCTACGAGAGCAAATTCGACACCCTTGAGAGCTGCTTGTTTTGTCGGAAGACTTGATATTGTAAAATATCTAATGAATCACAATGCTGACATTCATATTGGTAAGATATTGAATTATTCTCGAGTAATTATCATATACTAAAACTATTATAATTATGTTCAATTGGAATAAAAAATTCATTTGAATGTGTAACGATTTAAATTAACTGTAATTAAATTATCTACAGCATTTAAATTAAATTTACATAAAATTCTTTATCATTTGTAAATTGCATTAATTTTTAACAGTTTTGCTTCATACTTTTTTTTTTTAAACTATTTGGCAGCCTTCCTAATATTTTGAACTTAGCCATGTAATAACCCATTACTTAAGTAAAAATTTTGTTTACTCATCTTAAAATATTTCCTGTTGAATTGTCGTTCAACTCTCATAAACGAATGCACCAATCATTTAATAAAAATTTTTTTAAAAATTTATTTGAGGATCCATGATTTTCATAAAGTAATAGAAAAAATAATTGTGTCATCATCTTCACTTTATTAATTTTTTATTCGCTACAAAAAAAAAACTTTTAATCTCATTACCACAGCTTTTCCTTTTGCAAGTGTTTTTTTTTTTTTAATATTATTTTAATAAATGGATAGTAGGATCAGTGTCTTAATTGTATCACTTTAATTTATTTATTCACGTTTTACAAATTTTTTACAATGCTTATAATTTTTGTTTAATCCAAAACATTTTTAAAAATTTTTAATAAAAATTAAAATTGTGTTTTTTTTTTTTTTTTTTTTTTTAAAGAGGTCAGTGAGGAGCATTGAAGATATTTTAAGACAAGGAAATGAATTTTAAAAAAAAAATAATAATAATAAGGAAGAGTTTTTTTTTAAATCTTTCTTCGGAAAAAAATAAAATTTAAAAAATAAAAAAAAAAAAAAAAATAATAATAATATTAATGTTATCTCAAAATAATAATATTATCTTATTTTAGGCCAAAAATTTTGTAAAAAAAAGAATAAAAAAAAAAAAAATAATCGTAAAAAAACTGCGTATTTGGCATCATCTCCCGAATGTTATTGAAATAAAATTAGTGAGACGTTTTTTTTTACAATGCAAATACTTTTAAAGCCTTGATGAAAACATTTCACTCTTGCCAATATTTTATGGTTTTTTTTTATTATTTTTTTAAACTTAATGATTCATTTTAGTCAATTTAAATTTATTATATTTATATTTTAAAATCCTAAGTTTTAAAAAATTTTTTTACGCTTGATTTTTTTAATAGCAAAAAAAAAAAAAAAAAAATTATGTTCATGATTAATAATTAAATTTAAATTATAGCAATTTGAAATTATTTTTT